TTATCGTTATAACGTTTATATCTTAAAATATTTCATATATATTCTTAATTATAACATGTATGATAACATGTATGATAATTTTGTAAACTTGAGCTCTTTAAGATTTTATAGAAACATTTCTATCAAGGTCAACTGAGATTGTCGTCTTGAGCAAGCCACGGTTTGGAGAATGGAAGGGGGGGGGGGGGGGCAGAGTCCAACTTTTTTCAACTCAAACTTTTTTCAGAACCAATCTTTTTGGCATTCCATGCCACATTTCCTTGATAGCATTATCTTGTAGTATAAAGTGGGGGGGGGGGGGGGGGGGGGGGGGGGGGGGCAACCAGCCTTTCCATAAACATTTCCAATAGTAAAAGTAATGTTGGGGAAAAAGTGGTGGCCAGCCCCCCCCCCCCCCCCCGCTGCTACGTGCCTGTTACAAAAAAATATCACCCTTATTTTTTAACCTTCGTCATAACTTTTGAACAGTTAATTGGTGCTACGACTTTCATACTGAGTATTTCACAGGTGTGTTCATTGTGACAAGACCTTTCAGTGGATATAAATATTTTTTAAAATCTGAAAAACTATAACCTTAACCATAACTTTTGAACAGTTGGTGCTAGGGCTTTCATATATCACAGGTGTATTCCTTGTAACAATACCTTCCTTGGATACTATTAATTACATAATTTTGACATTTGCAATTTGACATGCATTTGAGAACATTCAACTCTCGCCATAAGCTGCCCTACGGGGGCATCAATGTTTCACAAACACATCTTATTTTATTCATTTATTATCTCTTACTATAATTCATCTGCGCCATGTTTTGGGTCAAAATCACATCAGTTGTTAAAAATCCCCATCGTCTCAAGCTACGGTTTGGCCGTTGTTTGCGACGATGAAAAATCACATGCAAAATCTAATAACATTAGTTACCCCTATGTGTATAACAAGAGGCCCAGGGGCCACAGCGCTCACCTGAGCACATGGGCAAGGAAAAAACCCATATCAGATCAGAACTGAAAGTTTACTGAGGTGTGGGGAAGGGGGCTTGAATTAACACCCCCCCCCCCAGGGGTTCATGATTTGAACAAATCTACACTACCTGAGGATGATTCCATATAAATATTACTAATCATGGCTTTGAAGTACTTGAAAAGAAGATTTTATAAGGTATCCCTATATATCCCTATGTAAAACTTGGGTTGGCCATTTTGGCACCACCCTAGTCCCAGGGGGTCATGATTTGAACAAACTTGAATATACACTATCTGAGGATGAATCTACATGAGTTTCATCTTTCCTGGCCCAGTGGTTCTTGAGAAGAAGATTTTCAAATGTTTTTCCTATATATTCCTATGTAAAACTTTGATCTGCCATTTTGGCCCCACCCTAGCCCCGGGGGTTATGATTTGAACAAATTTGAGTCTACACTACCTGAGGATAATTTTACATGAGTTTTATCTTTTCTGGCCCAGTGGTTCTTGATAAGAAGATTTTAAAAGATTTTTCCTATATATTCCTATGTAAAACTTGGGTCGGCTATTTTGGCCCCACCCTTGCCCCGGGGGTCATGATTTGAACAAATTTTAATCTACACTACCTGTGAATGATTCCACATGAGTTTCATCTTTCCTGGTCCAGTGGTTCTTGAGAAGAAGATTTTTAAAGATTTTTCCTATATCTTCCAATGTAAAACTTTGATCGGCCATTTTGGCCTCATCTTAGCCCCAGGGTTTATGATTTGAACAAACTTGAATCTACACTACCTGTGAATGATTGCACATGAGTTTCATCTTTCCTGGTCCAGTGGTTCTTGAGAAGAAGATTTTTAAAGATTTTTCCTATATATTCCTATGTAAAACTTTGGTGGGCCATTTTGGCCCCACCCTACCCCCGGGGGTCATGATTTGAACAAACTTGAATTTACACTACCTGAAAATGATTCCACATGAGTTTCATCTTTCCTGTTCTTGAGAAGATTTTTTTAAAATGCCATTAATTTTTCACGAATTCATAATTATCTACCTTGGCAGAGGGCGTGGCCCTTCATTTGAACAAACATGAATTCCCTTTACTCAAGAATACTTTGTAGCAAGTTTGGTTGAAATTGGCCCAGTGGTTCTTGAGAAGAAGATGAAAATGTTAAAAGTTTACGACGACGACAACGACTACGACAACGACAGACAACGGACAAATTTTGATCAGAAAAGCTCACTTGAGCCTTCGGCTCAGGTGAGCTAAAAATATAGTTCTGGTCATAAATTTCAACAAAGGTGTGAGTAAATAAATATAAATGCATTGAGCGGACTAAAAATTATATTTAATTTTAAAACATGATTTTGAATATAAATTATATTGAAGCACATTTATACTTTTCAGAACATTTGATTTATAAACAAAATATGTTATAATTATGTAATACTAATCCAGAAGATAATTAGAAGATACGATAATTTTAAACCCTTCCCTGTCTTAAAACCTGACCTACCCAAAACAATAAAGACTGATCCATCCTCGCAATGCCACTGAGGGTCCTGAGTTAACATGTGGCCGTTGTGTCATGTTGTAAATTTTGAATTTACAGGGTGGCTGTAAATACAAAATTTACAACATAGTTTTCATGTTGTAAATTTTGTATTTACTGCCACCCGGTAAATTAGAAATTCACATGACAGTTGCACAACGGTAACATGTCTAAAAAGTAAAAACCCCTTATATTGCGCGGGTGAGACGGATCAGTGTGACTACAGTCAAACAGGCAAAAGAGAAATATACAACGGACCAGACGGGGATTCGAATCCGACTGAATTCCCTGGACAGGTGCTCTACCAACTGAACTATCTGGCTTCAGGCAATTAAATCCGTCTGACTGACACATTGAACCCTTCTTTAAGGTTCCCCCTCCCCTTCCATGAAAATACCATCAAGACACGTAACCTCTTCCCTGTCAATTTCAGGGCATGACATATAACATGAAAAGCTGGACAGGGAATCAAACCCAGGACCCCATGCATCGATCATTACTGATTAGTCAGGTGCTCTACAAAATAAGCTAAGTGCATCTGTACTGATCACCCCATGTCCTGAGAAAAATCTCCATATATCCTATCATTTGAACATATCATAAAAAAGGACAGTGACAGAACTGAACTAGTATCGACCTGGCCTATCATGCTAAAAGACCGTCCTGTCAGTCATACTAGTTATTCATCGCGACCTAGGAGAAGTGGATTGTTACTTTGACAACAGTTGAGAGACATCGATCTGACCTGGCCACTGAAAATCGTGAAATAAGAAAACTCTTTTATCATGTGCAAATGACGAATTGTCACATGCATGCAGATTTTCAACAAAAAAAAAAATGTGCACAGCGGGATGTGAAATCATCAATTAATTATCTTTCTATATAAAGAGAATTATATTATTTTTGATTGCGAGGTTTAAATTATGCATTTTGCTTATGTTTGCGTAAAGAAAATATCGATAAATGCCTGATATATACAGAAGTCACAGAGTTTGATTTAATTATTCCATGCGTTCAATAGTGATAATCTAGTCATTACTCTCTCGATTTACGTCATTCAATCGACAATTTCGGTCTGGATTCGAATTTCCTTGGGAACTACAGGAAACACAGAACTTAATACTGTTAATTCTTAGGATGAATTTATTATGCAAAAAGTAAACAATTAAAAGAGGTTCATATGTATAGATTTCTGATACTAGTATTAATGAACGTGCGTCATCAGCATGTTAAACTTTTTTTAACGTTTAAGAAATATCCAGTATACAGACACTTCATCACTTGCTTTGGTCTATTTTCTATCATAAATATGTATCTGACAAGGAGCACACGGCGGATGTGGCCGGTCGGCAGGGGTGCTTACTCCTCCATGGCACCTGATCCCGCCTATGATGTTTTGGAGGTCCGTGTTTGCTCTGCTCTTATTTTGTATTGTTTTATTGACTTTGATCTTGAATACTGTTCGTTTTCTCCATATGTATCATCTCACAGATACCTGAATTATATTTCTGATTTCATTAGGTGATATTTGTAAATGTATATATCTACCTACCCAAATGTTAAAGTGATTACAAATTTTTACAAATACAATACAAAAGAACCCTGCATATATCATCAATTAAAAAAAGTTATGTCGAATTACCTTGAATGCAGGAAGAAAATAGAAATATTCCAAAAATGTATCAGCCGATTTTATAAAGCTTAATAAATGGTATGTATATATCCAGACTTCTCAGATAGACATGTTTTATAGGATTTCAGCCAAAAAAGTAATCAAACTTATGACATATGGATATTCCAAGCCAGATTTTAAATGCATTATGAGAAAAAAAAAACAATCTGATTAAAATCAGATCCTTTGATGCGCTCATATAGATCGCTACCTTGTGTTAATCAGATTGGAGGGGGAAAATCAATAAAACAAAAATTGAATATAATACCTGTATATAATTATTCAATATATACACCATCAAAAAAGAAAATAAAAAAGATAATTTTTTAAATATAAAATTGAAACCTCGACTTATTGGTATAAATTACCCAAGGTATGAATCTACACGTTCATACGAACTGCCATCCCACCAGTTTCTCAAAAATATTGGAAGTGAATATTACATGAATGTGTAAGGTTCGAAGGGGGGGGGGGGGGGGAGGAGTTGTATTTTTACTATGTGGTCAAAATCAATATCGTTAATTAATAATGCACGAATGAAAATATATTTTACTGATCTGCACACGATGGCTTATTTTTTCCCCCAAAAAATTCAACAAATAGGGTGGTTGCTAAAAGGGCATATGCTTGAGAAATTTAAAAAAAAATTCTATGTCCTAAAGCAGCCACCGCACTCAAGGGCATCTTCGCTAGTCAAGGGTTTTCGGTCCACTTCGCTTCCCGTAAATTATGGGGAGCGGGGTGGACCCAAAACCCTTGGCTAGCGAAGATGACTCAGGTTGGTGCTTGCATGGTTTACTAATTAGTAATTCTTACCAGCTGAAGTTGATGACATCATGTTAACTTGGTAAGGTAGTTCGTGGACATTGACATTTGATGTTGTTCTTCCTGCGTCTGGTTGAATCTGAAGTTGAATTAAGAAAAAAATCAACATTTTTGTAATATACATAATTAAATACATGTATAAGGTAACCATCAAAATATATATGCATTTTAATTCATGAAGGATATTTTGAATTTTTATAACGAAGTTAAGAAAATTACTACTGAATTCCCTTCTGAAGCAATATACTGCAAATGTGGTAATGGTAATTTTCACAACAATTACTACTCAGATCTTATGCCCGAAAGTCCTTTATACTGAGTAATTCTTTTATAATTAAAAAAAAATGATTAAAATCCTGAATTTCTGTTGGCTTCGCGTTATTCCCAATAAAAAAATTATCATTGTTATATAAAATGATTTTAAGCAGACACCTCTAAGTTTGATTTGTTGACTTTAAGCTTAATGCAGATTATATGACTGGAGAATTAATTTGATTTATATTCTTAAAGAAGACATCTTTGATTTTGAGACGAAAGGTGAGAGGTCAAACTCACAAGTTCAAATATTTTCTGAAATTGTGCATTTTCACTGAAAGTCTTCTGATACTTTCAATAAAATTTCAAATATCATTACACTGCACTTCCTATTACACTGTATTTCTATTTATTTTGAGATCAAATGACCCAAGGTCAAGGTCAGAATATATTGCATGAAATGACTTCCACAAGAAAGCCTGAGAGTTTCATTCTAGCTTTCCTTACAGATACCATGGATACTGGCCTCTCTCGGTATTAAGGTTAAAGTATTTTTGTCTCATTTTAAAATTAGAAGGAGCAAGTGTTGCAGTCTCATCATTTAAAACTATGAAAGTAGTTTTTGTATTACATCATTTTATAATTCTTGTTTATGTGAGAGGAATTCAAAATTATGGAGGCACCTTTGCTCATCATATCCGTTAATTTACCGGGTAGTTTGTTTGCTTAATAACCAAGAGCGAAGATTTGGATAATTTTAGCCCCATCCCTTAGACCTAAAGATGGGGGTTCATGAAATTAACAATCTTCTCCTCACCCATTTAGGCTTTATTCCAAAATTGGTTTAAATTTGTTTATTTGGGAATACCGTTGTCATAGCCTGAAAGACTAACGATACTTAAATCACAGAAGTTGGCAATCCTTTTTAAATAGATATTTTTCAGCATAAAATATTAGGTAATTATGATATTATGGTATATTACATATTTTACGATAAAAAATTATATATATATACTGAAATTCGGGAAAATTGAAAGGTATGTCAACTCTTGTGCCAGATGACATACAAAGTTTATGGGCCTCGTCTTGATCTTTAAGACTATATATATATGTATAGAAACATAAGTTATTTATATACTTTCTAAATGGCATTTCCTTGGACATGAGTAAGTTAATATCTAAATAATGACTGATTGTTTCTCTCTAAGTAATAAACACTCCCATTAAGGCTTAAAATAATATATCAGATTATAAGGCCTGAACTAACAATGTTAACGACCCATTCCATGCGATAAACGAAGTAAGTACATGTACATACACTGTATCTATCCAGAGTTGCAAACATAAGTACCTTTATTCCTTACCTTTGGATCCCGTTTTAGCTTAATTAAAAAAAATCCTCTTTCACTCTGAATAACATTTTGTCACAAAAAGCCAAAGAAAAACATGCTTGTTGTCAAGAAGTTACATGTATAGAAATGTTCTTCAGAAATCAATACCAGAATTAAAAAAGCTCACAATGAAGACATGTATCTTCTAACGTAAACTCGCTCTGTTTAAAGACTGTTTTTATCAGTTTTAATTTACAGCATCTATCGTCATATCCTGGAGTTTGCAACTCTGTAGTCGGGGAAGCAGTGTGTAGGTAGGGCGACCCCCTTTCTCTTTTTCATTCAATTAAGGTCGATCCACCTTCTTTTTTGTTGCAGTATTTCTTCTACACACATGCATCTATTCATATTTTGCACTTAATATTCTTGGCAAAATATGAGAGCATAGTTGTAAAACGATTTTGTGTGTTTGCTTTTGATATCTTTGTCATTGTAATTTAAACCCATATTTTAAAAGAAATTAACTTGATTAATGAATAAATAAGTTATAAAATTGTGAAACTAAATGAAATGAGTCACTACAGGGTTTGTTATGTAGCGTAGCCCTGCTTTTCATTTTGGTGTATGGGAGGAGACCCAGGTGAACGTAATGGGCAACGGGCCTCATTTTTCTTAACTAACCCTGTGTTCTGGGTCAACTGTCCCTCTTAACCACCCTTATTATGTGATAATACTAGTATGTCACAATATTTTGTATGAAATTCAGGTTCATTATTCCTTTGCGTCATTCGACACATCAGAGTATACATGCAAGTAGTCATAATCAAACATATTGATTGAATATAATATAAATATTCTTAAGAGTTGCAAAAAAAAATGGAGTATAATATCAAACAAAAATTATTACGAAGATTTCAAGAAACTGCTGCATGCATTTGATAATTAAAAAAAGCTCACACAACCCCCAAATTTTCCTAGAAATAGAAGTTCATGTAGATATTGAAGTTTACCCTTTCGCTTGCTCTGTCACCAGGAGTCATTTTCCTCTCGGTAACCATGTTTTTTTCTTGATGATGAACCTGGCAGCTGTCAAAAAATATTTTGATAAATTAAATTTATATATGCAATTTAGGCGTGTTTGATTTTTTTAATGTACGTATTTAAAATTATCAGTCAATTACAGGGGGATTATAAAATGAATTTTACTTCACAACTTTTACCGTTTTATTTGATTTTGTGCGAAAATGTATCGGTTATATGGAGTATTGCAGCTGCAATTTAAAATGATTTAAAAAAAAAAAAACCGGAATAAATGAAATAAAAGATATTCAATGTTACGTGTAGAATTTATCTTACATAAGGAATAAATTTCCTATCAAACTACAAAACATCGTGTGTTTTTTTCATGACACTGATTTTCTTTGGAAACATTTTGCCAGTTTTAGTTTAAAGAGGGTTGGTGGTTGTGGCCATTTTTAGAAGTATATTGATCTCCTTTAGAAGAAGAGCTCCATTTAAAGATATCACAAAATGATCAAATTTTAAAACTAACATTTATCTTTGCCAAATGATAGTTGACAGCTTAAGATATCATATCCCAAAATTTAAGTTATATCTGGTGGTTAATAAAAAAATAATTTGTTAACCCCCTAGCCTCCTTAAGTCAGGAATGCTTTAAATCTACTATCTTATAACAGGCTAGGGACCAGGGAGTATGGTTTTTCTACAACACTCCCTCTAAAGGAAAGTTAAATCTTGATTTTTGACACAATGATATTCTTTCACCTTTAATTAATAAGAATATTACAGATTCAATCATTAATGAGCTGTCTAGCCAATTGCTGTCAAAACCTCTCATTTTTGAAATTGTATTCAAGTTCAGAACTTCAAACTCATTTCAAAAATGAGTGAGTTCTTACAATTTTGGATTCTAGGATGCCAAATAAACTGTAATCAATTATAATCAATTAAATACCCACGATCAAATTCTATGCATCTCATCTTAGACCTCGCTATCGTTAGCGAAATTTTATGAGTGCAGAAAGGTCACAATAGATCATGAGAAGTAATTTGAAGCGCTTTTCTTTGTTGTAATTTTTAATGTTTCTATGCAAGATAACATAAAACTGTATTTGGCCCCACGTTGGCATCCTTTTATTTGGATACAAAATATTAGAAGAAGAAAAAAAAACTGATATATTTATGTATTAAGACACCATTTCAGGACAAAAAGTTCATTAATTGAAAATAACTGACCTGGTTCCCTGTATTGATTTTTAATAAAGCGTAGCGTGCGTGGATGCTAAAATGTGCTTGATTCTTAATTTAATCTTTTGTTAGTCAAAAATATTAATTAAATTGTGCATAGTAGTAATATGTTCAACCTTCGATTAGTGTCATTTATTAATTTAAAAGCCTGGAACTTATTCATTGCAAGATACCCCCCTTCCCCCTGCGCACTCGTTCGTTATAAACTTGCAATATTGTAGAAACTAAAATGTAATAAACAACAAAAACACTTCAATTCCTCCTGATTAATATTTTTTTTCAAAAAACGCATGAACATTTTTGTTTGATTGTTATCAAATTCAAGTATAATTAATGAATAGTATACTTACGTAGAAAAAAAATTCTCCAAGAAATATCACACAGTGTGAGAATCTTGATGGACAGTGCGATATTATTATTACCTCCAACAGTCACACACTAGTTGCCTAATTCGGCAGCACACTCATATACACCTCTCCAATGGTCAATTTTCGCGCGTGCATAGACAGCAATTGTTATGTAGGGAGAAGAGTCCAAAAATACCAACACGTGAATGTTCTTTCACAAGTGAACGAGACCAACGTGATATAAATGCATGTGTATATATCAGAAATTCAATCTGTATATTGACTTTCCGCGTATTGCTCTTGTCTGCGGCAACCTCATTGACATTTAATTATTTAACTTCTAAATTATTGATAATTGAAACGTGAATGAAATCAGATTTACGTAGACTTAAGACTTAATGAAGATTTATATTAATAATATAAATATGAACTTGTATTTATGCATCGATCTACAGTATATCCGTTTAAGTACAAAATTTCCTGTAAAAATGTCACCATTCTTTTTTCCTTCTTAAAATGTTAATTAACAGTAGTGGAAAATGGGGGGGGGGGGGGCTCCAGGAAAACTACAAGTACTAGCTACTGTAAAGTAATATATACGAGGAGTGTTGTTGATCACGTTGTGGATATTTAAAAATTCCACGGAACTTTTGAAAAAAAAATTTAAATCATTTTTTTTACCAAAAACAATAGCACCAAATCTTACGATTTTTCATATCTATATACAACCTTTTCCCAACATAAATTAAAGTCCAGGCTTTCTGACATCACTGGGAGCTTCTTTTTCGAACTCTTAGTTTTACTTACCTTGACACTGATCATTTGCAAAATTATTTTATTGTTAAAAAAACATTCTGATTGTACACACAAGTACCCTGAGTTGATACAAAAGTATCAAAAAGATGCTTGAGTATCTGATTAACAATATGGTTTTATTTTTGGAAACCATGTCTTCTAACAAACTGTCGAAATTCCCATGGGTACCAATTTCGCCCCGTTATAACCTTTTTAATACGTAAAAATGCAATACCATGCAATAACGATGTTCAGTACGTCGCGGTTTCGAATCACCTGGGGTCGTGGAGACCAGTCCTTTGAATGAGTTCTATAAACACAATATTTTTTTTCTTTTCAATATAAAACTATGTATATGCACATTTCAAAAATAAGATTTTGTCTGGAACAAGACTTCCATTTTAAACAGAATAGAGCTTAGATTTATGATATACGTCCCGTGAAATACCGTAAATCGCATATTTGTGTTGTAGTAACAAAACCAACTAGCTCTCAAAATTTCTCCAAATACTTGCAATATAAAGTATTTCAAAGAAACATTTGTCTAGTTCTTGATTTACACATTTCATTTATAGTATATAGTAAAAATTCTTAACAAGACATTCGGTATTTCTGATACTTCTCAATGTTACGGCATGTTACAGAATACTACCATTTTTTTTTTTTTACAAACAGCCAGAATCAGCAAGTTTTGGAACTTAATTAATGATTTTTGTATTCTGACCCCATCTCAGGACGTTATAGAGTATGTGCAAATTGGTGGGAAAACCCATGCAGCCGAAACGAATAAATGACTACTTGCGCCCGTCTTTTAGTGTTACAAGTTACGCAATTAAAACCCCAATACTATATGTACGACGACTTTGCAGTGCAATGTTGTACCTTTTTAACAAGAATATTGAATCTTTAGAAGTGTTTCAACCTTTTTTCAGTAAAAAAAAAAAACCATGTAAAACAAAATTGGATTTATTAATCTTTAATTGACTTGCATTCGTTTAATTCCATTGACGAAAGGATCTTTCGAAGAAGAAGAAACAGACAGTAAATTCAGACATTGTGGCTCATGAATCGAACTGAACAAATACAATGGAGGTTTTGAACAATATCTGCATTTATTTCTTTCGTATGGTAAAAAAATTGTTGGTGACGTCACAGTCCTAGAAACGTCACAAAGCAAATAGCGTCATAACTTATATTTCAGTTGTTTTGTGCAAAGCGATACTCATTATCTAGGCTTAATATTTTTAAAGATGGAATTGAAAGAACTAGAGGTAGGAACTTATTCTTATTTCAATACATGTTAATTGACATTTATTAGTTATTACACAGACGTGCTTTCCATTCACACAGTTGGATCTCAAGGTTAAGTTGTTAACACAATTAGAAAAAAAACTGTGTATCTGTATACCTACTGAAAAACATGCTATGTAGTCATGAACTGCTGTGTTATAGTAAATCATATATTTATGATCCCTAGTTTTATTAAGGGATGGTTATAATATTTCTTTCTTAAAAATAATTATACATTTAATCATATTTTTAGATATTTTGAACAAGTATTTAGAATAATTATAATATTTAGTTTTTAATCCAATGACGTCACAATATCAATGACATCACAATATCAATGTCGTCATAATACACAGTTTGAGCAGTTTAAGAAAAATTGTGCAAAAGCAGACTTTCCTGTTTTATTCAATGGCTAGCTCGTCGGAGGTAGGCTGTATGAATATTGTTAAACATTCCTTAAAAGATTAAACTGTTTAGTGCAACAGACACAATACCATTTTTAATGAAACTTACTTAGCATAGTTAATTTCTGTTTTTATTGTAGAACCCTGAAAAACTGAGGGAATTTCTCCAGAATGGCACATTGTCTCTGAGAGACCTCGACAAGAAGGTAAATACATTTTAAGAAAATAAATTAATATTAAACAACTCAATTAAGAATAGATTTGAAAATTGTTTTCCGTACAAAAAAAAAAGCAAACTAATAAGATACTAGTAGTGAGCATGAATTTATAGCTGAATCAAGTACTGAGGTAAATAAAAACAAACCTTGAAAACAGAAAAGGGGATCCTCGGGAGGCAGAAGAAGACGCAGCAAAAGTAAGAAGGGGGGAAATGTAACAACAGACGATACGACGAAAACACAGGCTGTCGATAAACACCAAAACCTCCCGATGGCTCCCAAGATTAACAGACCGTCAAAACCAGAGAGCAGTTCGAAAAATGCCGAAAAAGGTCTGAAGTGGAAAACTCATGAAAAAGAGTCGATAATGGTAAGAATGAGTAAATTTCAATGATTTTTCTAATAAATATAACCAGGAAATAAAACATAAGAATGTATGAACAAAAATGGTTTACTAGTAATTCATACATTTTACATTTAATCTCGTTCTAGGTAGTGCGCAGCATCCTAGATGAACTATTATATCAAGTTTCTAAAGATTGTTCTGCTGTTGATTATAGGTTTGTAAAAATAATCAGGATCTAAAATTCAATTCAATTAAAATTACTTTTTAAAAATCTTTTACAAAATACTAGTTTGAAGTTAAAGTAGTTCATGTGATGTGAACTGGACTGTTTCTTCATTTCAGCGATGCTAAAGAGATAAGTGCACCGATCCCCGCTCTGCTGGGAGCTTGTGACGAGAGAATCGTAGCAATAAGGAATTTTTACACAGAGCAGAGAAGAACAACACTGGAGGTATATAATTAGATTAGTAATACGAAATTTAATTGGAGATTTTCCCGAAATTTTAAAATGACCGTAAATCAATTCATTATATATAACAATTTACGCCTTGATGTCTGGAACACAATTTCTTTATTGACAGTTATTATACGAAGCAGCACAGGAAAATGTAGAGGATCTGATCAAACGTGCAACTACACGTCATTATGATTTCCCCAGGTAAATACATATACAATGAACTACACTCCCTTTGGTTGAACACCCCCGCCCACCCCCAAAACAATCGATTATTATTATATTTGTTTTTTTGGGGGGAGGGGTGTTCAGTCGCCCAGCATTAAAAAAAATGTATTAAAACCTATGATTAGAAAAATTAAATTATTTAGAACAAGGGAGTCTCAAAAAAAGATGCAATTTAAATTTTAAAAAGGGGCAGGGTTGAAAAAAATATGAAAGAGTGTATGACAACCTTATATTCTTTGTAAGTTTCAAAAGCATAAACCCATGAAGTTTAAGGCAAAAAAGTTATATAGATAGTATATTGTTATATTTATATGCAAAATATTTTTAATCCCTTTCAGTTTATTTAGCTCAAATGAGGGCCAGTTGGTAATAACTACCCCGCTCCGATTTGCCAATGATGGCGCTCAACAGAGGGTCTACCATCAATTGCTGCACACCGAGAAAATGAAAATAAAAACGGTATCTATTCAATGATAATCGGAGAAATATTTATTTCAAATCATACTTTACTGTAAACCAACTATTATTTGCGTCTATTATTATTCGCGATTTGTCAATTTGAAATCAATCCGCGAAGATTAATATTCGCAACTAAGGAAGCATTTTCTACAAAAACTAAGCAAAATGATTGGTTCGCGGCGATTAATATTCGCGAGTTAAAATAGGTCGAGGAACTCGCGAATATTTCTATCAAGCGAATAAAAATTGGTTTAAAGTATATTGTATTTTGTATACTGCAAGGATATACACAGTCTAAATATTACGGTCACTATTAATCATATCGGTCTCGATTCTTATTTTTGTAGATTAAGAACATGGGGGCATTAGAAATTGAACAGTACTTCGGCACCTTTTCGGCCACGCGTGCAAAGATTGCCGAAACAAGAATCATGGCAGTAAAGGAGTTTTACGAAAACGAGCAGAAAATGACTCTAAAAGTATAAAAATGATTTGTAGCTCTGTATTATTTACACGCTCGTATATGATACACAAAAAAAATTACTCTACATTGAAACTTGAAACATTATTCACCGTATAATTTTTTTTTAATGTAAACCTTATGATAAGATATTCATAGTTGAATTCAAAAAATAAAGACATGGTACGTTTGTAAGACTTAGGGAAGATTTCATTTGTAAATCATTATTTTCTTCGGTGACAGTAGATTACATTTTAAGGTTTTTTTAATTTGACAGTTATTGTACAAAGCAGCACAGCAAACTGTGAATGACCTTATAATCCAAGCTACTCCTAACTTTGATTTTGCTGGGTTTTAAGTTTTGAGTTCGAAGTTTTAATTTTAAGTTTTTTTTTTATTTGACAGTTATTGTACAAAGCAGCAAAGCAAACTGTGAATGACCTTATAATCCAAGCTACTTAAGTTTTTTAAAAGTTTTAACTGTGATTTTGCTGGGTATGTCATTTTGAAGTAAAATAGAGGTGTAATAAATCTATTAACGAGATGAATTTTATTTTCTGGGTATTGATAAAATTGTTAAATTAAAGATAATTTTCATTTGTTGTTTGACTTCATAAATAATAAGTCCAACTCAATGCTACAATAATTTTATTCTATATTATAAAACAGTTTTAGAAAGCTTTTAAAGGGGTATTGAATTTTTGGAAAGTATCAAGGAATAGAATTTGACTCCAAAGCATTTATTATTTTTTTCCAACACTTTCAGAATATTTGTTTTACAGGGAGGGGACTTGCTTAAAGGGTAACTACAACTGTTAAATAAATTAAAGATAATTTTTGTAATTGATATAGACCTTATCAGTTTTCACTATGATAACAACAGAGATCATGTGAAGAAAACAATATAATACATAGTCATGGATGGCCAAGAAAATACGAGTACAAGTTAAAATAAACAGATTTCGTTTCTTTACATAGTTGTCATTATAAATTGTGTCTAATTATTCACTGATTAATTTCCTGTGTACAGATCAGTTAAAATAGAGGTGGATATTCCTGCCTTAGTAAGATCTGAGGAATATACCACAAGATTGAAAGCAGTCATAGAAAAGACAAACGCTGAGAAGTTGGCAATACAAAAGGTATTCATCAAATGGAATAATTATTTGTGTGTTCATATTGTATATATTCAAATTGTATATTGCCTTTTAAATACATGTACACATTAAATTGAACTATTTCGTAATTTATTATGAACAAGATCAAAACTTTTGGTTCCTTTTCTTAGGTTTTGTACAACACGGCCTCTGGGGTTGTTGAAGACTTGTTCGACTCTGGTGCAAATAATGCAAGGTTGGTTCATATTTAAATAGGTACCTGAATTTATAATTTATATTTTCGTCAATTAAAAAAGTAATAAAAATCTATGCAAATATTGATTCATTCTCTTAATTTCCATCCTTTCTTTTTTGTAGCTTAAAAACTTTGTCTGAAACAGATGTGAGCAACGAATTGGTACGTATTTAATTACTAGTATTTTTTTAACAATTCTGCAAAACTCAAATAACTAAAATAATATTGCTATTTTAGAGGCGAATGCTGCATAAAAATAGATGAAAAAAACATAATCTGAAATAGTCTAAATTTTTGTCACTTTCATCAGGAGGACGATCCAATGCCAAAACTGAAAGGCTGGCGAAGATTCCTATGTTGCATTAAAGCAAACAAACAACAGGTAAACATCCATCCTACATTTATTTCTATTCATTTCCTCTTGTTTTATTCTGGCATTTTAACAATGATATTGTGTTCTTTCAAACGTTTGATTCTATATAATTTATTTCTACAGAAGAAAGAGAAAAAAGAGAAGCGTGGGTTATTTACCAGGCTGCGACATTTGTTTAGCCGTCTTTAATTTGTGAAAGAATTTTACAAATATGTTGTCTATAATTAAAAAATGTGTGAAGAAAGCATTCCATTGGTGAAAAGGCATAAATTATGATTGGAACAATTCACTTATTATAATTATCATACCTAGAAAAGAAAGATGTTAATGTTTCTAAATAAAATCTTATATTTATCTGTTTTTGTGTGTTTGTGTTGTGTTAAACAGTGTTCATATGAAAAAGAACAATCGGGATTAAAAACATTCCACCCACTCTCTTTTGAAATCTTTTCTTCTAGACGCAAAACGTGGATTTTGCACTGTAGTGCTGTGCAATAAAGCAATAGTCAAATTCTTCTAAAGATAAGAAAAATAAATTCTCTCGCAAATAAAAATTAGAGGTACATGTACTGTGAACAATGAGCCCACTAAATGAATATAATGGCAGTGTCCATGTTTTGCTGTAAGAAACCCAAAATATGTGTCGGATCAGAAAGTAAAATGGAGGTGCGAAATGGCATTAAGCAATAAAGATTCTGTAGAAGTCTCATCAAATTTCATTCAGTGGTATAAGACGAGTTGTGGATAAGAGATGGGTATTCCAAAGCGTAAAAGACAGACGGACGGACGGGCATACCGATTACTATATACCCTCCCGCTTTTCAAGCGGGGATATAAAAATCCCACATTTATCAGTGAAATAGGAGTGCTCATCTCTTCAGGATGTTTTGCACATGACCAAACTAGTCATTCGATAAAAAAAATTATCAATGTGTAACTTTGTCAAAAAGACCCTAGAAGTGAATAAAAATTGTTCATTGTGTCTGGTTTTAAACCCCCCCCCCCCAAAAAAAAAGGACCTAAGAATATTTAAAAAAAAATTTAAAAAAAAAAAAGGAAAATTTTTAATTACAAAATTACAATTAAAATTACAATTACAAAATTCAATTACAAAATATTGACTAAGTTTATTTTGATTGGCTTATTTGCCAGGCACTACAATGTGTTGCATTGTATTGCAGTGCAGAGCGCAGAAGGGTGCAGTCATTCTTCTATTGTTCAACAAGCACAATTATTTTACTACTCAATGTATTCCAAATCTTCCCCACCATCCACCCTCCAAAGACATCCTATATATACAATTTTCCGTTGGGGCTGATTGTAGATTGCAAAATTTGCATAATGCAGGTTTCTTACAAAGTTCCATAATTCAAATGATGTCCCTTTGAACAACGTAAACAAAGCGATCTTTGCTGTCTGCTTTCTGTTATGCAAATGTTGAGACAAAGCTCACGGATAGCAAGCTTGTCAACTATAAAAGACTGAAGAGGGTGAGTTAACATTTCAATCAATAGCGGTAATGTCGCAATTCAAATTTGATCTTATTGTGAGTTTCTCTCACTAATGAAGTAATGCTTACTGGCTTAGCAGTACTGAGAAGCGCATTTTTGATTGTTCTTCTGTGGGCGCTTTCTTTGATTGATTGAGTCTCAAAATGTTCACTCGTCAGACAGACGGGAAAGCTCGTATTTATTTCCTTGTTTATCTTGATAATAAAAATAGAACAGGTATCTTTAACCCGTAATACGACGGTGCGTCAAGCATTATAACAATGCGATGCATTGCAGTGCAATATTTATATCTTTATCTAAAAGCATCCAGTCTGTTTTCCAAACTTTTAAAGCAGAGAAATGTGTTGAACAAAAGTGTTATTCTCATCTTTATTTTCAATTTAAAAAAGCGCATGTAAAACAAAATTTGAATTTTATTTATCTTAATTGACATTGCATTGTAATGCAATGCAATAAAATAAGGCTTACTCTATAAGATAAAATAACAATCTTCAATCAAAAAGGAGTGTTCATTTCTTCAATAAAATTTGCGCATACCCAAACTAATCGTTTGATAGAAAATGATCAATACGTAACTTTGTCAAAATGTCCTTTGACATAATTACTTAGTTGTTATTTGAGATTCATATGAAAAGTCCTTCAACATACTAGAATGTTAATTGAGATTCATATGAAAGAGAACAATCGGGATAAAAAAATCCAACCAATCTGTTTTGAAAAACTTTTCCTCAAAACACAAAATGAGAAACATGTGGATTTTGCACTGTAGTGCAGTGCAATAAAGCATAATCGAATTCTTATTAAGATTGATAAGTAATATTAATTCTCTTGCAAATAAAAAAATATCAGTCAAAGAGGGGTTTTCTCTCTGCAGGATCTTTTTGCACATACCCAAACTAGTAGTTTGCATGATAAAATATATATAATTGTCAATACGTACTTTGTCGAAAAGTCCTTTGACATAATTACTTGATTGTTAATTGAGATTTTTATGAATCAGGATGAAAAAAAAAATCCACCCAATCTGTTTAAAAATTAACTAATCTTCAAAACACAAAATGGGAAACATATGGAGTTTGCACTGTAGTGCAGTACAGTAAAGTGTAGTCAACTTCTTATTTAGATAAGCCATATTCATTCTCTCGCAAATCCCCCCCCCCACACACACACAAACACATATTTATCAGTCAAATGGGATTACTCATTTCTTCTGGATGTTTTGCGCATATCCAAACTAGTTTTTCGATAAAATATAATAATGATCAATACGCAACTTTGTCTAAAATTCTTTCGACATAATTACTGGGTTGTTATCTGCGATTTGTATGAAATAGATCAGTCATATATTGAGAGAATGTGAATCCAAATATTTCATGTATAAAAAAGAAAAATCTAATTCAATTACAAAATTTTGACTAAGTTTATTTTGATTGGCTTATTTGCCAGGCACTACAATGTGTTGCATTGTATAGCAGTGCAGAGTGCAGAAGGGTCCAGTTATTCTTCTATTGTTCAACACATTATTTTACTACTTAATATATTCCAAATCTTCCCCACCATCCACCCTCCAAAGACATCCTATATATACAATTTTCCCTTGGGGCTGATTGTAGATTGCGAAATTTGCATAATGCAAGTTTCTTACAAAGTTCCATAATTCAAATGATGTCCCTTTGAACAACGTAGACAAAGCGATCTTTGCTGTCTGCTTTCTATTATGCAAATGTTGAGACAAAGCTCACGGATAGCAAGCTTGTCAACTATAAAAGACTGAAGAGAGTGAGTCAACGTTTGAATCAATAGCGGTAATGTCGCAATTAAAGTTTGATCTTAGTGTGAGTTTCTCTCACTAATCAAGTAGTGCTTACTGGCTTAGCAGTGCTGTAAAGCGCATTTTTAATTGTTCTTCTGTGGGCGCTTTCTTTGATTGATTGAGTCTCAAAATGTTCACTCGTCAGACAGACAGGAAAGCTCGTATTTATTTCGTTGTTTATCTTAATAATAAAAATAGAACAGGTATCTTTAACCCGTAATAAGACGGTGCATCAAGCATTATGACAATGCGATGCATTGCAGTGCAATATTTATATCTTTATCTAAAAGCATCCAGTCTGTTTTTCCAAACTTTTTAAGCAGAGAAATAAATGTTGAACAAAAGTGTTAGTCTCATCTTTATTTTCAATTAAAAAAAAGCCCATGTAAAACAAAATTTGAATTTTATTTATCTTTAATTGACATTGCATTGTAGTGCAATGCAATAAAATGGAGCTTACTCTATAAGGGAAGCAGTATTAATTCGCATGCAAATAAAATAACAATCTTCAATCAAAAAGGAGTGTTCATTTCTTCAATAAAATTTGCGCATACCCAAACTAATCGTTTGATAGAAAATGATCAATACGTAACTTTGTCAAAATGTCCTTTGACATAATTACTGAGTTGTTAATTGAGATTCATATGAAAAGTCCTTCAACATACTAGAATGTTAATTGAGATTCATATGAAAGAGAACAATCAGGATAAAAAAAATCCACCCAATCTGTTTTGAAAAACTTTTCCTCAAAACACAAAATGAGAAACATGTGGATTTTGCACTGTAGTGCAGTGCAATAAAGCATAATCGAATTCTTATCATTAAGATTTATAAGTAATATTTATTCTCTTGCAAATAAAAAAATATCAGTCAAAGAGGGGTATTCTCTCTGCAGGATCTTTTTGCACATACCCAAACTAGTAGTTTGCATGATAAAATAATATATATAATTGTCAATACGTACATGTACTTTGTCGAAAAGTCCTTTGACATAATTACTGGATTGTTCATTGAGATTTTTATGAATCAGGATGGAAAAAAATCCACCCAATCTGTTTAAAAATTCACTAATCTTCAAAACACACAATGGGAAACATATGGAGTTTGCACTGTAGTGCGCAGCAATAAAGTGTAGTCAACTTCTTATTCAGGTAAGCCATATTCATTCTCTCACAAATCCCCCCCCCCCCCCAAACACATATTTATCATTGAAATGGGATTACTCATTTCTTCTGGATGTTTTGCGCATATCCAAACTAGTTTTTCGATAAAATATAATAATGATCAATACGCAACTTTGTCTAAAAGTCTTTCGACATAATTACTGGATTGTTATCTGCGATTTGTATGAAATAGATCAGTCATATATTGAGAGAATGTGAATCAAAATATTTCATATGTAGAAAAGAAAAATCTAATTCAATCACAAAATTTTGACTAAGTTTATTTTGATATGCTTATTTGCCAGGTACTACATGTACAATGTGTTGCATTGTATTGCAGTGCAGAGTGCAGAAGGGTGCAGTTTTGCGTCTATTGTTCAACAAGCACAATTATTTTACTACTCAGTATATTTTAAATCTTCCCGACCATCCACCCTCCAAAGACATCCTATATATGCAATTTTCCCTTGGGGCTGATTGTAGATTGCAAAATTTGCATAATGCAAGTTTCTTGCAAAGTTCCATAATTCAAATGATGTCCCTTTGAACAACGTAGACAAGGCGATCTTTGCTATTTGCTTTCTATTATGCAAATGTTGAGACAAAGCTCACGGATAGCAAGCTTCTCAACTATAAAAGACTGAAGAGAGTGAGTCGAAGTATGAATCAATAGCGGTAATGTCGCAATTCAAGTTTGATCTTATTGTGAGTTTCTCTCACTAATCAAGTAGTGCTTACTGGCTTTGCAGTACTGAAAAGCGCATTTTTGATTGTTCTACTGTGGGCGCTTTGTTTGATTGATTGAGTCTCAAAATGTTCACTCGTCAGACAGACAGGAAAGCTCGTATTTATTTCGTTGTTTATCTTAATAAT